CTATATAGATCCAAAAAATATGGTTTTTAGTCATAATATTATTGAAAAGTTTTTTAAACCTTATAAAATGAGTGTGACCTTAATAAAGGGTTACCTTTTAGTGAAATACCGGCACTGGTACAATTGTAGATACACATATATTATAAAGGATGTTTAAACCGTTTAAAAAATTAGATATTAATATATTATGTATTATATAGTGATTCAATAAGCAAACTCAACCCTTTAGACTAAATAGAATTTTTGGAATTTTTAAGAAAGTATATTTTTTAAATATTATTTTTTTTATGTCATTTAAAACTGGGTTGTCCTATGTCAATAAATACTATTTTTTTACAAGAAATGAAAACCACCCATTTCACTATAAATTATTATTTATTAGAAAATTATTTTTTTCAAAATGTCGGATGTATCTAAATCTAAATTCAAAAATTGGACAAGGAAATAACCTGTATCAAAATATTTTAAAATGCATGTAGGTACTATTGAACTCAAAACTGTAGCCCATTATAATAATGTTGGAAAATATCGAGGAAATATAAAAGATAATTTATATATATATATATTAATAAATATATATAATATATCAATAACTATTATTCAACGGTATAATTATTAAGTGCTTACACTAAGCCTACACACTGATAAAATGCTAACTTATTTACAATAACATCATTTATGTTTTACTATCACGCAGTGTAATAAGGTACTAACCATGTTTCTATTTTACAATAATTTGATTTTTTTGTATACGTGATTATGTAACTATGGTTTGTAATAATAATGTATTTTAGATAATCTTTTGACAGGAAGAGATAGGCAAGTAAAGTATTCGTGCATAACAGGTTTTTCAAAAAAAAAAAAATTGAATAACCAATAATAAAGTAGGCTGGTTCTCATTTTTAAAAAAAAAGTCGCTTTACTGTATGGTAGGTATCAAATATTACACCTCGTCCAGAAGGTCATTGTAACGGATGTGTTAAATTGTAATTCAATTGTAAGTCAACATGTACGATAAGAAACAATTCTGAGCTGTAATAGTCTGTCGGCTATATTGCTAGAGATATTAAATATTGCTATTAGGGATTTATTTAGAATGGAGTATTGTTGTTGTTAACCTATAATTCAATATCGATGTATCATGTAATGGTTTGATTAGATTCATGATATAAATAGCTAACAATTAATATAAATATTTGGAAAATTGAACTACCTATAGCCTATTATTATAAGTATAGTAAAAAATAAAATAACGCAACGGAGAAAAGTTTCAACGAAATTCACCAGCGGGTAATACAAAATAACAAAATCGATTTTGTAAAATATTGTGTAAATACTTCCATATTTCCGAATATTTTTTTTTGTTTTATTTTTTCCGCGTATTATTAAGAAAATACTAGATTTTTTTTATTTTACTATTAAGTACCAACAAGATTCAATTTGATCCAATTAATAATAATTATTATTTTTACAAATCTTTTAAGTAGTTTTCACATGAATAAGTATTTGAATACTTTATTTTTATCTTATTATGTTAAATGTATTCAAAATTCCATTTGATATCAGAAGCTGTTACCCTCAAAGTTGAAAATTTGAGAATAGTTTCTACTATATGCCTTTTTCAATTATTTGTCTTCAGACGAAAAAAAAATAACATCATTACATTATACACACATTATAAAACAAAACATTTATCGCTCCGCTCAGAATCTTCAATTATTTGGCTTAACAAATCTAAATGTTTGTAAATATGGTTTTAAATACATTTAGGGCTATTTTACTTAAAATTCTAAAATTTAGGATTCGAATGAAACACTATTAAAATAAAAATGGGCGTGAAATTGCTTAATTATAATTAACTAATGAATACGAGACAAAATAATTATTTTTACCTTGTCAGTAAAATTAAAATATTAACTATTAATGGCTGTAAATTAAACTATTGGTAGTACCTATACAATTTATGTATATATTATAGTGTAAATACAATGGGTTAAAAATGTATTTTAACGATTATTCTAAATTAATTACTCACATTTCCGAATGATGATATTGATTTATGAAATTAGATTTAAACCTAAATATATTTTGTCAAAAAAATTTAATACTTTATTATCAATCTTAAATTGGCGCATAGTAAACTCAATTAGCTTTTAGCAGTTCATCATCAGCAGTCAATCAACAGTTTCAAAGATGTTTAACTTTTACAAATTATTTAATTATATTATTTGCTTTAATACATATTATTATTACTGACGACCGTAGAGCTTATTGGTAATTATTTAACTTTTTTATTGGTACTCGTTGTTTTGGTAGTTGATTAAATTATAGTAGTATAAAATATAAATTTATCATTTTATGTTAATAATTAATTAATCTGTGAGGATATTTAATAAAAAATCTTTTTTAATTTGGTGTAATTAAAATTCGAATCTATTACTATATGGTGCCAATCTAAAAATTCTAAAAATACAAGTGTAATGAAATATTATTGTAATTACCTAATAATAATAAACTATACATTTGATAATTATCAAAAGAATATGATTTGTTAAAATAACTTATACGATTCGCTCATTTGTATATCAACTGAAATTTAGTTAAATTTGTACATGGTTGTTAAACAAAAAAATATTGTAATATTAAAATATATATTATTATTATTATATTGTATTATATTATTTGTTACAGTTTGAAAAATTCAATAAACTACATATGCATATACATGTGTCTTATATTTGAATGTTTTACATTATTTTGTTTCTTTAACGAAATGGTCATCCATCCGTGAATAAATTACTTGTTATATACTTTTGATTTTGAACAGACAATGGTAAAAAAATATGTTTGATTCATTTCACTTAAGTCTAAATCCCAAAATCTTCCACTGACCATGGTAGATAGTACATATTATCTAAAAATGTTAATATTGCATTGTTTTTATTTAAGAAACGTTTGATCCATATTAACTACAATAATATTAGTACCTATCATTTTCTAAAATATTATAAGACATAAGCATATTGTGATCAACTATGAATATGAAACGTGGTTTTAGATATAATAAATATAAACATGATGATCAACCTGTATAGGTTCTATTTTGAATGTTAATGATTTTCGAATACTCTAGTATTTTTTGCTACATATTAAATTGTGTTTAATCAAAATAAGGTCTGTAAATATAAAAATATTACGTGCTTAAAATAATATTTGAAAAAAATTGTTTTCATATTATATTCTTCGCTTCGTGTAGTAACGTTCGCATATTATTTACTTTTTTAAACGGTGCTCATTGTATTTATACACATTTACCACAAATTACTGAAAAATCACCTGCAAATTTATTGAATAAATACAATTTTAATTATGTAGATAACCTTACTATTTATGTTCTTTATATCACTACAATATCTTAACCCAATTGACAGCCCCTTAGACTTAACTCAGATTATTTCGAGTTTGCGATAATATATTTTGATGTGTTAACAACGACTTTACACTGCTGAAAGCGTTCATAGATGTTTTTTTCCTTTTTTTAAATTCCCATCAAGTTACCCGATCATGGCTTTTATATCTACATACCAATGAATACTATGCCAATTATTTATAACCAACGGTGAAACTTGTAAACATTATTATATAAATATGAAACGTGACATAGTAATAATATGTACCTACATAGTATTAATTGCATAATCCTACACACTGATAAAAGACAATTTTTTTATGATCACAGTATACATGTCTTACCATTACACAACCTAATAAGGTTGGGTTAGACTGAACTATGTTTTTATTTTACAATAATAATATTTTTATTATTCCGCAATAATTTGGTTATTTTCGTGATACGTAATTATGAAGGAATGTAGACTACTATAGTATCGTTTAACTAATAATATATTTTAGATTGTCAATCAACGCGCGACGGGACGAGACATGTGAGATAAGTTCGAATATAATGTTAGATTTCTTTACATCACAACTTATAATAATGTTGTAATTGTTAATTCAATATGGGATGTCACAAATTAATGTAAGTTCTCCGTGCGTTGTATGAAAACGAGAAAAAATTATTCTCAAAACGTAAAAGAAATGTTTGTTTGTACCAACGATATGTACTTGCGAGCGGAAGTAATTTTTTCCATAATAATATTTCACCACGACGACTTGTATGACGTATAAAATCCATAACTACTACAAAATCCAACCATGTAAACCATTATTACAATATTATGACTATTTTATGAATCTAACTAACGTGTATGTGACCACCACACCGGGAACAACTGAAATGAAAAACCGCCACTAGTCCACGCAATTTATTGTGCGCGGCTAACGCGATTATAATATTAAAAAAAAAACTCACTTAATGAATAAAAGAGGAACCCATTGAATCGTGCAAACATGCGATGATAATATTACAGAAAAAAAAAAATATAATAAAATAAAACCATTTGTATAAAAATAAACGAATTAGATTTATTGTTAGCATGAATGCGATACCGGATGCGATGTATGATTGCCGTGAAATTCGATGAGTTAAAATATATTGTATAAATAATAATATTCAGTTGAACCTCAATAACTCAAATTTCAAGAGGAGTAAAAATATATTCAACTTCTGTATTATTGTTCTTGTTGGAGTTTGAAAAACACAACTTAGAATCAATTCAGGGGGTAAGAAAAAAATGCCAGTTATTGTACCTCAAATATATTATATATGTTGCAATGTTATTGGTATGGACAATTTTGTTTTATCCGTCGAGAGGAACTTGGAGGCACCTGTCAATATGCACCAACCAGTTAGTGTAAATTTCATCGGCGGTAAACATATATTATTTGGATGCAGCCCAGTGGAGATAACATTTTTAAATTATCAGATTGGTAGGTCGGAACAAGGTCGGACCATGTAAGTAAAAACCATAATATTCTAATATTTTTTTTATTTAAAATAATATAGCCACATATAACGTCACGATAACTATAATGATTATAACTATTAAAATATAATTTGGGTTGGACTCGATGACAATTTTGAATCAGTTTATGAATCTTTGAGTGGTACGGACGGTATACTATCCTAGATGGCTATACTCGGAGAGAAACCAGAAATTAAATAATAATATTTTTGAATTAGTGGATAAAACGCGCACGCACAGCACATCACTTAAAGAAAACTCGAAGGTGAAAAAAAAATCTGTTACATAACCGGTTTTATAATACCTACCAACCTTAAATATAATATCAATGCATCGGAGATGAGTTACTGGGCGGCCACCAGTGCAAGAGGTAACTGCAGCATCGGTCGGTACACGTGCGCGAGTGGTATCAACGCAGTATACCCAATAATATTTAGTACGATAAAAATCCCGGTAAATCGTTTCCCGTCATCGGCACAGCAGTACGTTTATGCAATATACCTAATCTGCAGAGACCGCTCATTCCGCCGATTTTCTCACTTTGACTAGACGATGAGGGACCGTCGCAGCTCCGACGACGACGAAGCGGCGTGGTCGTCCCGCATGGATTTCCTGAGCACGGTCGCGTTCCCGCGGGCCGCGGCTGACGGAGCCTTCGGGCCGGGCGCCGAATACGCGTCGTTCTGCGTGGACGACCGCGACGGTGCGGCCGCTGCCGGAGACCAGTTCGCGTCTGACATCGTTTTCGGCACGGTCACGCTGACCGGGTCCGAGTGGCCGGCGGACGTCGTGCCCGTCGTGGTCAAGTTCAAAAATATGGACGCCCGTTTGTCAGCCATGATGAACATGCACCAAAAGTTCTACAATGAGTACGTGTTCTACGCCCGTTTGTTGCCAGAACTGGCCGCGAATGCCGCTGACCCGGCCGCGGCATTCGAGCTGTTCCCGCGGTTCCTGTACTCGAACGCGACGCCGGATGGCGTCACGGACGACGGACAGAAGCAAGTGATTGTCCTGGCCAGCCTGGCGCCTTCCGGTTATCGCGCGGCCGACCAGAGGGTGTTTCTGGACGTCAGACACACGTTGCTGGCTCTCCGCAAGCTGGGCGCACTGCACGGGCTGTCGTACAACGCCAAAGCCTCGGACGGACGCCGAGGGGGGCCGTCGTTCGCCGACCTCTGCACTGCTGCCCTGGTCGAGACCCAGTGGTTCGACGGACATTGGTTCATGAGTCCGCGTTTCTTGTCAGGTTGGTATATTTAATGGTGGCTGTACACACAAATAATAATTTAAAATCACATTACCGGAAGGCGACCAATTTTTCGCTACACAATTATTCAATATGTCCTGCAGTATCTGCAGTGCTACCGGAAATTGCAACAAATACACTTACACACGTTAAACAGTTTTATCATTTTTGATATTAAGAAAATCGTTAAGGAAGTAGTTATCTTTAAAAATATAATAATAAAATAATAAAAAAAAAATGTAATAATAATTTTATAAACGACCGATTTTTGACACCAAGAAAATATTAACACCAGTCTTCCGGTATTATAATTTTAAATTATTTGTTGTACTCGTGGGTGGGCCACTGAGCCTCAAGCGTCAGCTAGTGGTTATACTTTACAATATTTTACAACTCAACAGTCTTGTAAAGGATACTTTTTTTGGTTTTTAGTCAGAACGCAATATAAACGAAAGATTAAAGATCACGGCATGTACGATATGCATGATATTGCTTGTCAACATATTTTTATCTCCAATATCGATTACGATTTTCTAACCAATGTATTCTCCTCATTCACAACTTCTTGTGACTTCCAATTTGTTAGTATTATTAACGGATAATATTTTATAAAATAACACTTATTCAGTAAAACCTGCTTACCCATGTTTTTAGTTAATTAATTTATATCCATTGAAAACAGTATTTTTATTTTCTTAAGCACGTTATATTAATTTCATTAAAAATTGTAAATATAAAAAAAATTGAAATGCTTAAATTTGAATCCTTTACAAGACTACATTTAATATTCAATATTTTTATACGACGACGGACTTCCTACGACTATACTTATGTGGTTACGTTAGATTATAATATTAAACTAAAACAGGTGACATTTCCATTCCATCTCCACATATTATGTATACCTACTACATTGACCAGAGACACCCAAGGGGTCTGCATCCATTATTTCTTCAAATTTGTTCCTAGGATTATCCTTTACATCTATGTTGTACTTTGATGTTTCGATATTTTTTGTTTTGTATTATTTTATGTTCATTACAGCTTCTTATACACACAGACACACGCACACACGCACACACACCACACTTATCATATCTCATGTTTACCTCACACATGTTACATTATTTTGTATATTGGTGAACGAAATGCTTTGTAGTTTCGTGTTTTCTGAAGGAGTACAGACTTTTGTTTATTTTTCATCGGAAACAAACACATCGAATCTCGGCCAGTGTTAGCTCGGTTTATAAACCTAAATATTTACAATTTTTGAGTAGGTACCTATGCACTTAACTGTGTGTATGTGTGTAATGTAAATAGGGTAAATATAAAATTATCTACTGTGAATAGTTGAACTTCTTAGAACTGAACTGTTTCTCACAATCCTCTGGCTTGTCAACACAACAATGCATTAATGTTTCATCATTTGAAAAAACAATTTTTATCAATTTATTTCCCTCTCACATAGTTTAAACAATCTTGGCAATGTTGTATGGACTATAAAATATATGTTTCAGGTATCTTTGAAAAAGAAAACTTGAGTAATATTTATCAACAATTTTAAAATTTAACCTCGAAAATGTTTTCCTTGGAAACGAATTCTCTAACTCTAAAAATTGTGTTGACTGCAGAGTTTTAAAACTTTTAAGTTGTTTTATCTTTAAAACGTACAATATAATATTGTATTATACCCATTCATTGAGATAAACATTTCCAGGGAAACTTATATTATATTATTATCAAAATTAATTGATTAATACATATATATTTAATTCGTAAATAGCTTGAAATCGATTATAAATTCATAAATATTGCATATCATGGTACATGTGCGATGTGCATTTCCTTGCAATTCCAGTACCTAGCTTTGATCATCTGCATATTGAATGTATGTTAGATATACACTCAGTATAATACACCATTACACAGTGTCGACATAGGTAGTTCACGATAAAATGTAAATATATAGATAATTAAAAATCTGCAAATTTTTCAACGTGTAAGTTTATGCACATAATAATTAACTATACGTAATTAGATAAAAATAATTTTAATTTTTTAATGTTTGGTAAGTTAAATGCAATAGTATTAAATGTTATTGTTGTATCGAGCCGATGTTAGATAATAAATGTGTGCAGTAATAAAAGATAAAACTATTTGATTTTTTTTCTTTGATTAATAATTATTATGATTAATGATTATTGATAAGAATAACTATGAAAAAATAAGCTACAAATTTATATTAAAAAAAAATAAGATTAAACATGTTAGAACCTTGTTAGCAAAATAAATTGTATTTTCGCTTCTAGTTGTGCCATATTTCTAATAAAAAATGTATGTAGGTACAATTACTACCTGGTAATTCCTCTCACTGATTATGACTTGTATTTATTTTAACGCTTATATATTTTACATTCTCTATAAAAGATGTACAAGTTTATATTTTATAATATATTATTATTATAGCTAATGCGATACATATTTATTTTGAGGTGTATTACATATGATGAATATTTTGGTAGAACATAAACATTTTTAAACTATATAAATTTTATACAAAGTTAAACTAGGCCTACTGTGAACCTACCTCATCACTTATTAGTAATTAGGTGCATTGTTTCTTGTATTATTTGTAAGATAATATAAACATGTGTTATAAGTTATTACAGTTTACTATTTGAAAACAATCTGGCGAAAATGAAACGCTGGGGTCAAGGTACACAATAAAAGTTTTCCTCGGGATTCCCCATATTTCACAGCTAACTGTCTCACAACTATGTGGCAGAGTTAATATGTTTGGATGGGTAACCGCACAATTGTGTGGTGGACGAATGTATTAAGGGGCACACCGTGACGGACCGAAAATCTGTGTGTTTCTCCATTGAAGCTTGAATGACGATGGTTCGTCGTAAATGTACGTGGGTTAGGGGCATAGGTTGGTTCTTTGGTCCTGGTATCGCCTCGTGGCTGGCGTCGTCGACGTTGACGATGAGGAGTAGGGGGTATTATAAGTTCTAAGCCGTGAAAAACGGCTGTTTTTATGCGAAATCGTTAAACGTCGATGATTCGCTTAAACGAAATCCCTCTTGATGGCTGCTGCAGTTAATCCTCCACATTAGTTTCTGGTCGACGGTTCTTGTCAATGTTTTAATTTCATACCCGTGAAAACGGCTGCCTTAGGAAAATATAGTCAGTAGTCAGTGGCTAGTTTGAATGAGATGGCCGCTGAATGGAAGTGATTGTAGCAGTAGCGGTTACTTCGTTCAACGAGTTCGATACTAAATATTATCTTCAAGGATACCTGTCTTGACTATTCAAGTATTGAAGGAGTTAAAATAAAAGTAACTTTCCGGTAAAATTCACCCTAATATAAGAGCATTACCGCGTCAAATAATCGTTGCTAGTTGCCAAGTCAGTGGTTATCGATCATTGAAAATCACATCTTTCACTGGACGTTGTATTTATTTTGTGGAATAGTAGGAATACCTATTGTAATTTTTATAATTTGAATCCAATTGTGTGGAATATCGGTGGTCGGTATTTAGTGTTCTGTCTCATAATGTGACATAAGTAACAAATATGTCAAAAGAAATTTAAAAAATGTAGGTGAACTACACATAATTTAACTAATAATTTTGATATATATTATAAGAATTCGTAGGGTTGGTACCAGTTATTTTATACAAACCTAAGGATAAATATAAGCAATGAGAATAAAATATAGTTTTATCTTTCTTTTTCAAACTTTAAATTGTAGCTCTAAAAGGAGTTTTAAAAAAGTAAATTAAACTATAAAAAACCTCCTAAATAAACTAAATGACCTGCTACTGAGAATAGGCAAGAGGTAAAGTAAAAGATATCGTCACATAAAAAAATCTACATATTTTTTTGATACAAAACTGCAGTATAAATAATACGAGACAAATGCATTCGAAACAATTTAAAACGTGTGTAACAACTAACTGTAATGTAAGTTGCATATATATGCTTCAAAAGTTTAAAGATTTAAACTACCGTAATTTTCATTCATTAATTACAAAATTTAAAATATTTATTATTTATAAGTTATGACTGTTTGAAATGTTAAGTATTACTTTTTGTCTATTGGTGTAGATTGTTATACATACCTACTATACTTAATAATTACTATTAATTAGAGTAAACAATGCAATAATAATATGATGATAACCTATAGAAATTCTATACGCCACAATAAAGAGAAACGCGAGGGCTTAAGATGTGCGCGTAAGCTTTTGCTAATTAAATTTACAGTAGGGTCTCTAAATCAAACATTATGTTAATGACATTCTACATTTTTGGTCCATAGGATTCACTCTGGTAAGACACTGCTTTGTGGTTCAGGACTTCGGGTATCATGTAACCGATTAGATTTGACTATTATTATATTATTGAATAAAAAATCAAATTTCAAGTAAAGGTTAAAAGCTCACTACCCCAAAAGTATATATTCCTAAATGAAAAAGTAAAAAATGTGATGCTACAAATTTATAAGCAAAAAAATTTAAAATAAAATTATTCACGGTCTGATGAACTTATATCTACTTAGATACATCGTTACATCTATTAAACAAAACAAGATCCGAATTTAGGAAGTGCTAAATAAAAAGCGATGAGAAGAATGTCACCATATTTTATGTAGCATCAGATAACTTTTTATATTTTATGTTTCAACAACATAAGGTAAATTGTTCTTTCCGTGAAGAATGATAATCATTTATACAGTCGAAACCCATTTGTATTATACTATATAGATAAATAAAAAAGTTTTAGAAGTCAGACGATAATGAACTAATTTCAAGATTATATTGGTTGAAATGTCTTGGTGGTTCAAATTAAAAACTCGTTTTTATGAGAAAGAAGGTTGAAGATTGATTACCGAAACCCCAATCGAATGTGTCAATCGTGTTGTCACCGTAATAGTCAATATATTGATTGATGAAAATTAACCAGGTTTACTATAAGAATTAAAATACAGCCTA